TCTTTTTCATTCTCATGACCCTAGCAGTGAATAAAATCATGTCACACAAAAGTTGACGGGCTACCGCAGAATCAGGCAGCTACTTCAAAATCCAGCAACTAAGATAATACCATGCAAAACTAATCATAACCTACCTTGAGATTCTTTGAAGCTGATTGCATTTGAGTTTTTGTTTCTTTAATCTTCTTTTCAAGATCTTTGAGCCTTCCCTCCCGACTATTATCATTCTCTTTGATTGATTTCTCAAGTAATGAAACTTTATTCACACAATCTTCATACAACAGCTGTTTTTCTTTTGCTGCAAATTGTGCCTCTAGAAGTTCCTGCTCAATCCTTTTTACTAATTCACCAAGCTAGTAACACCAAGAAATCATTAAAAACCATGTCACTATAGGAACTAGTAAAGGAAGTTGCAATATAAAGCATGTGGTTGGTATGCAAAGTGAAAGAGAGGACTGCAAAACCTTATGATGCTCATTTTGCTCAGCCCTGCCCTGGAATAATGAAAGGTCATAGGATTTAAGTTCTAACTGTGCTTTAATGTCCATGAACTTCTTCTGGAGAGGCAGAAGCTCTGTAATCTGCAATTTGAGAAGTTGACAAAATATAAAACCTGTGTAAATGCTTCCAATTTGCAAAGAAATGCAAAAACATCTCTAAAAATACAGTATTTAAGATATGCAAACAAGAAGGATCCTAACTATCACAAAATTCATTTCATTTGTTCTTATTTAAAGAAAGAGAACAAGATTCTTATGGTCAACCTTAGCTTCAATTTCGGTCAATCTTCTCTGATGCACGGAAAGTTTTTGTTCAGTCTCTGCCAGCTCGTGAAGTTGCCTTAACAAATCACCCCCACCCCTGTGACAGAGTAAATGGTTTCTTTAATAGGCTGACTAGCTAGATGTAGACAAAAGCAATTAAAACAACTTTTAGAGAAATGTAAGATTTTAGTTACTCAGTGTAGCATGCACCTCTCCCAGACCCTGCGTAAAGCGGGAGCCTTGTGCACTGGGTACGACCTTTTAGTGTAGCATGCATATTACAAAGAAGACAATAACTAGTTTGGAGCATTCACCAGGAAAATGTTAACGACAACAAGAATTTGAAAGATGGGGACAAAAGTAACAGATATATGGCTATTCCAATTTGAACTAAGGAGACAAACAACAATGACTTACTTGCGGCTTCCACCAGTCAAAAGGCCACTAGGCTGAAAGATATCACCTTCAAGAGTGACACTTGGGGTGCGAATTTCCTTGTTAAAAGCAACCTAGAAAACATTCAAGGAGATGCAATTTGTGTCATGCACCCTTCTAAATATAGATTTCATTTTCATAAAAGTACAATATTACAAAATCATTCTACACCAAATCAAACATAATCAAGATGAGAAGCATGTGCACTGTTAAAGAAATATTATACATGAACAAATTAGCAAAGTTTGGCCTACCTCCTTTGCAGCATCTACGGTTTTGCAAACAAAGGTTGAACCAAAAACGAATTCCATAGCACTCTGCAATAAAAATTGAAATTCAAAAAGAGCAGAATATAAAATTCCAAAATCCATTGTTTGAGTCTGCATAATATCCCAAAGAAGAAAGAAAGAAGCCTACAACAAAAAGTATCAATCATTGTCTCAAGTATAGAAAACACACATCAAAGAACTCTACACTCCATAGTATATGTATTAAAAATAATATCAGGTTTAAGTTTTATATGGGGCTGCTTGATGCATACCTTCAATTCATTATCATACCCAACCAAAGAAAGTGCAAGCTCTGCATTCTCCTTGCCAACCTGAAATTGAAGCCAAGTTTCAGCAAATACGCTACACAACTGAGAGAATAAGGGTGGTGTGAAAGGGGGTGGGTTCTATTGGTAGAGAAACTAACCAATTTAGAAGCAGCTTGTTGAACCCTAGGATGAACAGTATACGGTTGTATTTTGTTAAGAGGTATAATTGTTACTCTTCTTCGAAGGTTGCCATTCTGAAGAAGTTGTTTTCCTGTACTTTCTGTGTCTACAACAACATTAAACAACTTTCCACCAGCAGTAACCTGCAAAATGAATCAATCTAAGAATTAATACATTATCTAACTCATGAAATAAAATTCTCAGTTAAAAATTCATTCTGACCTCTAAGGCAGTCATGGTGGAGCTATCCTTCACTTTGATAAGTTTTGCAACTACCCCCTTGACCTTGGACCTATCAAAGTTATTCACAGGATCCCGATAGGCAAACTCAACATTCGATAATTGAGCTGAAAGATTTCGCATTTCATCCCTCAACTTCTGCACCTCCCCCAACTCAGACGCACGATCCTGAAGAAATATTCATAGAGCTAAACTGAGATTGAACTATTTACGTGCAGAGAAGATGATCAAACATAAACCACGTTTACCTTTTGTAATGCTTCCATCTGGCCCTCTTTATATGGAACAGACTTCAGTGCATTTTCAAGATTTTCCAGATCTCTTTTTCTAGCGGTAAGTTCACTCTTAACCGCATCAGCTTCTTCACGTTTTGACATTAGTTGTTTATTTTTCTCTTTTAACTCCCTTTGACAATGACTTATTTTTGTGTTCAGCTGTTTTAGTTCTGTTTCAGCATTCCCAACAGCTACTTTGGCATCACCCAATTGATCTTCGAGGCATTTCTCCTCATTTCCACTGCTCTTGCCCGCTAGTACACCCTAAACATAGTATATTTAAAATATTAGTCGCCTCAACCATTGTGACTATAATTTATAATAAATAATATGGCTTTCATGCACATTGATCATTGACAATATAAAGTAGAAAACCAACATATAGATACAAATTTACCTGATAATCCTTTTCATACTCATTCAGTGTCTGAGAAAGTTCCTCTGCTCTCTTTTTCAAATCAGCTGCTCCTTCTTCAGCCTTTCTTATAGCAAAGTCCGTCTCTTTTACAGACTGCTTCATGTCTTCAATATTGTTAACAATCTGCCAGCATCAAGGATGTCATAATCCAATCGTTAAACTAAGTAATATAAGGAATAACAATAGAACAAACTTGAAAGCGCCTGACAGCATTAGAAGAATCTAGCGAGTCATAGAGTACAACATTTACCTTTTCAGCATTTTTATTTTCAATACCAAGAGTGTCCTCTTTATTACTCAACACGGACACTTCCTTCACAAGATCTTGAGAAAGCGCATCTAACTTGTCAGACAAAGATTTTACTTCTCCACCCATTCTAGCCTCCTTTTCAGCAGTCAACTTCGACACTTGTGTCTCCATTTCCTGTATTTCTCCCTTCATCTTTCTCATATCATCATCAACCTCGGAAATCCTGGCCTTCACTTGTTCCAGCTCAGACGCTGCACTGTCTCTAATTCTCTGTGCTTGAATATATTCATGCGCAATGCAAAACCTTTTCAGGCGATCCAAGTCAGCGTTTCCATTAGCCCATTGCATATATTGGGCCCTTTCTCTCCTCAACTTGTCCAAGGCAGGCAGTATCTCCTGGTCAAGAAGCGTATTGATCTCATCAACTTTACTCTGCTTCTTCTCAAGTGTCTTCAAAGCGGCCTCTTTCTTGGTCTCATACATTCTCGTCCCAGCAGCCTCCTCAAGCATAGAGAGAATCTCGGGTGGTTTCATATTCAAAACCTTGGTAATGCGCCCTTGCATTATCAGAAAATGCGGGTTGTTAACATTGAGCTGCACTGAATGAAAAAGGTTCTGGACCTGACTAGGCTGTGCAAGTTTCCCATTGATCAAATACTTGTTCCTTCCACCAACCACAATCTGTAAAGCAAACAAATAGCTTCTCATCAACCACTTAGCACTCGCTTTGTTTGAGCCCAACAACAAAAAATTTAGCATGCAATTCGATACCATGGAAGTTATTAGCCCTCACCAGATTGTCACCAAAATCAAGATATTTTAAGAAAAACAAAAAAATCCGAAGTTGAACTAAAAAAGGAACAGCAAATCTCATCACACACTTAACAACAGTTAGTTCATTTCTACTCAAAATTCTAAAATATGGAAAGAATTAGAAAATTCAATTAAAGGGGACTTACAAGCAAAATAAAATTGAACACCAATTGGACACCAAAACTAGACCCGATTGACAAAACCCAGCAAAATTCAAGATAATGTAAGCAAAATTGAACAGTAAAACGAGACCCAATTGTGAAAACCCGGGAAACGAAATACCTGACGGGTGACGGTGATTTCGGATTGTGCCTCGTATCCGAGGGGACTACGGGCACGGTCTGAATTGTCGAAGACGATGGAGACCGTGGCCTTGGTGATTCCCGCCTGGCCCTGCTTGTAGACGAGTTCCTGGAGGTTGGCGGCGCGGACCTGCTGCAAATTGGTTATGCCCAAGACAAAGCAGATGGAGTCGAGGATGTTGGACTTGCCCGACCCGTTCAAACCCGTTATGGCGTTGAAAAAGGGGTCGAAGCCGGGCACCACCGTCCTCGTCGCGTAGGACTTGAAGCCCTCCAGGCATACCTCCTTGATGTACATTTTCTGCCGTGAGCCGAGAGCCGAGAGGGTTTTCGATTTCAATGGAGGGTGTACGGACAGTGAGAGATTTGAAAACCCTAGAACGAGGAGCTTTCTCTGCTTCTGCTTCTCTTTCCTCTCTGAAAGTCGAAAGTTTTCGAATTTTCAATCTCATCACGCGGGACGTGCAAGGCGGGAACTTGGGAACCCAACGACGTCGTTTGGAGTTTTATTGGACCGGTTTGTTAAAAAGTCAGTGGGAAACGTCAATGGGACTCTAAATAAACCACCACGGAGTGGTCCCGTGGTTGGGGATGAATTCCAAATTTGTATTCTGTATGGTATGTTTTGAATTCGATTTATAACACTGATGAATTGCACGCCCGTATTTCAATCTATGATAATTATTCAGTGTTTTAGTATAAAAATTAGGATAAATATTACTCCCCCACAAATAACAAAGTACATGAATTAATTAGTCTTGGAATTAACTACACAAATGCTACACCAAAAACAACTAAAAAATGTTATAAAACAAACGAAGATTAATGCCTAATACAAATATCTAAGAAACATTAATCGAAGAAAATCCCGTAAGAGAATCCGGAGATTGGGTAGGGTACACCACATTATCATACAGTAGTCCAGCAACCGCCGCGCCAATCAGAGGCCCCACCCAATAAACCGCCTGGTTCCTGAAACTGCCGGAAACGACTGCCGACCCGAATGCACAAGCCGGGTTCATAGACCCACCAGAGAACGGCCCCGTTGCTAAAACATTGGCTCCTGCCATGAATCCAACTGCCAGGGGTCCAACGCCCCCAAATGCACCATGCCTTCGGTCACCGGCAACATAAACTGTGTACACCAGCCCAAATGTCAGCACGCCCTCCAAAACCGACGCCCCAAAACCCGTCATCTCTTCGGTGATTCCGTAGGTCGGAACATGCTGCGCAGTCCCAAAAAAAGGTTTGTCACTAGGGTGCGAGATTAGGGTTAATATTAGTTCGTTGAAATAATTTCAAAAAGACGACTCCAAACCAACAAGATTTGCGAGAATAAAAGAAACGCAAGTTGAAATCGGTTTAGTATAAAATGTATGAGATTCGTTGAAAAAAAAACTAGCTTGCATTGAGGTCCAAAAACTTACAATGAAAAATAGTTACATGGAGAAAAGTTTTTTTTACCTGTCCAACAGTTGTGACTTTCAAGAGAAGGCATGCCATGATAGAAGCCATCATCTGAGAAATCCAGTAGCAGATGGCATTGAGAACACTAATGTGTCCTCCGACCGCCATGCCAAAGGTGACTGCCGGGTTGATGTGGCCGCCGGAGACGTTGGCTGCAATGTACATGGTCGAGGACAATGCGAAGGCGTTGGCGACGGCAACCATCACCAAACTTGCTGGATCCGATGCAGTATCCGGCATCAACTTCCCTGCCACATTATAACACAACCAAGTACTTAAAGTGACGACATTTTTGTCTCAGTGTAACGGACCCAACATACACAATAAATTAAATTTTATTTTTGAAACTTACATTACACTAAAACTATAACAAAAACTTTTAAGTTTAAATTACGATTTGCTTCTTTTTCACACGTCACTTGAGATGCGTGAGAAAGAAACGTATACATTTCAGGATAGGAAAGTAATTCCGCTAACACAAAAAGTGAAAACTAATGGAAAGAAAGACTCACTTGACGACATCATGGAGCCAACAACGGTGAACACGAAGAAGAAGGTTGATATGAACTCTGCAAGATAAGATCGGAGGGCGCTGGGAGTGATTGCTTTCTGAAGTCGAGCGGTCAATGCAATCCTAGCCATTGATCCAAATCAAATGTAAAAATCAAAACACGATGTTGAAGAACGAATTGAATCCTCAGGGTAATTTTAGAGGAGAGTTTTGGTGTAAATGAGAGTGAAAAAACAGCGGTGAAATCGAACAGTTAACGCAACATTTGTTCTGTAAAGGAGTTACTTATATATTTGAGCAAGAAAAAAATGGCAACGTTTTGGTGAAGGGCTGTGAAGGTTGGAGAGATTTTTCAGTATGACCGAAACACAGGTGGTACATCACGTGTCACTATAAAAATAGTAGATATGTGTGTGAAAAAATTAATAACTTAAAAAGTAAAACTTTCCACCAATTATATAAAATCATGTGGTGTATTTCTCATATTTCGATTACAATGAAAAATTTCTTATGAAGGTTGATGGAGTTTCCAAAAATGGTTAAACACCAAGCCACGGGGCAATGTACACGTTCGCATGATTGGGATGACATGGGTGATTGGTGGATTCTTTTTCTTCCATATTTCCTATCCTCCTCTTTAAATAGTTACGATTAAGTCACGTCAGTATCCAATGTTGATTTTTTTATAGAGAGAGACAAAAAATAAAGTGTGAGAAGAGAAGAAGGAAATGGAGTGAATTAGGAGGAGAGAAAATCTTACTCATGTAACTATACCGTTACACAACTTTCTTCAAAACACAAATGTGTTTCCTTTGTTTGATACGAAATTATCATGAGAGTAACAAAATGGTGAAACATTTATAATATTCAAATTGTGCTTCTCTTATTAGGAGTTTCAAAAAATAAATAAATAAATTTCACAATCGTGATTGCGCATGGACGTAATTAATAACAGCTCTTATTTTATTTGCTTTTTTGATTTGCTACATTTCAGGTCCATATTAACATACGTATTTTGTAATTAGTAAGATTTTGGATCGGAATAACGACACCCTAATTCAGTCTTATTTGGCATTCAAAATCTTTTTCATACAAAATTAGTACTAATACCAACAAGTGATCGCTTAAGCTACAAGTCATTCATTCAATATATTTCTTTTACTATATACCAACAAATAAAACATCATCTCATAACGAAAGTTTGTTGTATTGTCGAATTATAAAAAAAATGACAAAAATCTTAAAACATATTGAGCAAATTAAAAACATTACAATACATGAAACAAAAAAAAAAGAACCAAATTGATTAACCCTATGATCTAAACTCAAGATATTAAAATTTGAGGCAGAAAATAGTCTTCAAGAACTCCAAACAACCAGCAAGCGAGGCACGTCTCTTTCTTTTAGCCCTATATATTACCGCACTCCTCATGTGCGTCTCCAGGTGATCTTCTATCTGCATATATTTACTCCTCCTGTGCTTCTCCAGGTCATCTTCTCTGTACATAAAATCCCTCACGTCGTTTTTACCATAAAGGACATCTCCCACCCCAGTCTCCGCCGCTGCACTGCTGTATTTAGTAGAACAAGCTGGGGACAATATTGAAACTCCATAACAAGGTGGTGAGTTTTCCGCCGCGTGCTTTTGCTCAGCGTACGCACCACCACGACCGAGAGAAAATTCACTGTGCATGATGGAAGAAGCTAAAAACATATATTCTTTCTTGTGGGAATTTAATTTAGTGAAGAGTCCCGTACATTATATATATATTGTTTTTTTCTGTGAGGCAAATATGTATTTTATTTAGCATAGGAGAAGGAATGATTATTCCGTTTTTATATCTTAAAGCTGTTAGAACTTGGCTACTAAAATGTAATTAGTCCTTATAGGATAAGAAGTCCTTATGTGTTTATAATAAAGAAGAAATTAGGTTCACATCATTCTTTTTGCTATTCCATTGATTAAAATTCTATTCATTTTTAATTTTTGATCAATGTCATTGGGTGTTAATAGCATCATTAATTATTTGAATAATAAAATATTTTTATTTTTAAATATATTCCTTTAGTGTTAAATTGTTACAATTAATATATTTATATTTATAGCTAAATTTTTTATCATATATTTTTATTTTTAGTTTGTACCTATTTTTAATTTGTACCAATTTTTTTTTCATTTTTAATTTGTACCCATATATTAGTTTCTTTTTGTGCCCTATTTTTTTAAGTTTTATTTGTGTTTGTACCCATATGTATACTGTCACGTGACATTGTATATTTAATCAATGATAGAAAAATTACATATGATATATTTATGTTTTATGCCTAAACTTTGTATCATATATTTATATTTTTAGTTTGTAACCACTTTTAATTTGCAACATTTTTTAAAAAATTTGTAGTATTTTCTTTTTAGTTTTATTTTGTACCCATATATTAATTTCTTTTAGCGCCTGTATTTTTTAAAAATTCATTTGTATTCATAATTTTTTAATCTTTTATATGTACCCTAATTTATTTATAATGTACACTTTATTCTTTATTAATGTACCACTTTGTTATATGCGAAATGTACCAATTTTTTTGTAAAATGTACCAATTTTTTTAAGCGGTCTTTTGATATGGGTCAAAAGTAATTAAAAATTGGACCTATTTCAAAAGTCAAAAGTCACTAAAAATTTGACATATTTCAAAAGTAGACCTATAAAATTGAACCTATTTCAAATTTTCCATTTTTTTAACACCATGGATACATTCTTTTGCCATTTATTATTTCTTATTTTTACATAGTTTTTATCCATTTATTCAATCAAAATGTTTGAATTTTTTTATTGTAACTGTTTCTAATAGTATTATAATGAGATATTTTAAATTTATAGGATTATAAATCTCATAAAATATCAAACAATTAATGTCAAAACTATAAAAATATTAATATTAATTGTAATATAATGAGGTGTACAAAGTCAAGGGATTTTAATCAAACTTTGAATACCATTAAGGTTTTAGTAAAAGAACGTTAAAGATTAGAGACCGCATCCAAAGTATCCCAATAAATTTGTTACTTGAAATTTGATTAGAATTCATTAATATGTGATGAATCTACGCGAACTTAATTAGAACTAATTAATATGTGATTATCCACTTTTGTTTTGAATCATATGGTTGCTTCTTTTCTTTTTCGATCGAAAACGTTGGATTTCATTCCCAAATTAACATCGTTGTTTTTTTGTAATTAGTATTATTTGGAGCGGAATAACAACACTCTAATTCTGTCTTATTTGCCATTTAAATTATTTTTCATACAAAACTAGTACTAATACCGTTACATGTGATCGAGCATAGACCTCGAGTGCAAGGCAGCCAAGAGTCATAGACCTCCGGTGCAAGGCAGGAGAACTGATCGCTTGAGTTACAAGTCATTCATTGAAAATATTTCTTTTACTATATACCAGCATATAAAACATGATCTCATAACGAAAGTTTGTTGTATCGTCGAATTATAAAATATGATAAAGATCTTAAAACATATTGAGCATTTTTTTTAGTACATCGATATGTTTACATTAATGGGAGAGTGAGTTTGGTTAAACCATACTATAAGCAGCCTAATTTGGTATCGAATTCGACATCCACGAGATTCGAACTAAGACCTTTCACTTCAAAATAAAGAGGAATACCACCAGACCCTAGTACTGAGTTATGACCTAAACTCGAGCTATTAAAATTTGAGGCAGAAAATAGTCGTCAAGAACTCCAAACAACCAGCAAGCGAGGCACGTCTCTTTCTTTTAGCCCTATATATTACCGCACTCTTCATGTACTTCTCCAGGTTATCTTCTCTCTGCATAAACTTCTTCGTCCTGTGCTTCTCCACATCTTGTCTGTAAATAAAATCCCTCACGTCCTTTTTACTATAAAGGACATCTCCCACCCCCGTGTACATATAATCCCTCACGTCCTTCTTACTATAAAGGACATCTCCCACCCCCGTCTCCGCCGCGGCACTGCCGGATTTAGTAGAACAAGCCGGGGACAATAAAGAAAGTCCATAACAAGGTGGTGGGTTTTCCGTCGCGTGCTTTTGCTCAGCGTACGTACCACCACGACCGAGAGAAAATTCACTGTGCATGATGGAAGAAGCGAAAAACATATATTCAATTTTCTTTCTTGTGGGAATTTAATTTAGTGAAGAGTCCCATACATTATATATACAAACTTTTTTTTCTGTGAGGCAAATATGTACTTTTATTGGCGTAGGAGAAGGAATGATTATTCTGTTTTTATATCCTAAACCTGTTAGAGCTTGGCTACTAAAATGTAATTAGTCCTTTTCGGATAAGAAGTCCTTGTATGTTTATGTTTTCTACTTGGCAATTGCCAACTAAAAGAGAGATTAATCCACGTGGACTTCGTTAAAATTAATATGTGATTATCCACTCCACTTTGTTATGAATCATATAGCATGTTCGTTTTGAAAACGTAGGATTTCATCTCCAAACAGAAAGATTATGGACTCGTTTAGAAGTGCTTTCAAAGTGAGGCTCCCCTCCCTCCTAAACTTAAAAAAACCAAGCACACAACAATGTATCCAATTAGACGTGAAATCTTTTCAAAATTAAAATGTCTCCAATCCTCACTGCAATGGAAAAGGATAAGATTCTATATAGATTGAGGTTTATACAGATTAATATTAAGCAACTGTGTAGACGACTTCCCGTGTATGTGCCATCAAACCATTTTACAACAATGCCGGCAGCTCACACACATAAAACCCTAGTGAAATGATGCTTAGCTTAAATCCTACAATGCCTGCATCTCCATATTGGTGTGGCCATTATTGTTGGTATTGTCGGTAGAGGATGGTGCAGCAGAATCCTGGTTGTCGTCAGCAGACTTCATCTGTTGAACTTGGGGCGGGTTGACGACAGTCATTGGCATCACAGCATTGTCCGAGAGGCGTCCCTTCATCTCCCTGTGCTCTTGGCACAAGGCGCACCAGTGCAAGCAGCAGTGTGTCAAGCATGGGTCACACGGCGAGTTCTGCAGTCAACAACGCAATTAAGCATCCAGCAAGCTTCAGTTAAGAAAAATATATTCCACATGACATAAACTTGAGATACAGATAAACAAAAGGTTACCTTTAGATGATACTTCTTCTGCAAGGATTGCCGGACAAGACCTGTATATATCCCACACATCCACCAAGAAAATAACAGACCCTCGCAAATAAGAAATGAAGTCCTTGGGTCAATGCCATGGAAGATTGCAGTTAATGCTGCCAGAGTCATACCACCTTCAATACAAACGGCATGACAAATGCACGGTCTGTTCCAAGGGGTATCGTCTCTTAGGCTCTCAACATTGCGCCCAAACAGAACACATGGACAAAATAACCCTGTCAAGCCTGAAGAGGTAACGAAAGGCACGGTGTTATCAGTAGACCATGTTTTTATATTGCAGAAAACGAATTACTGGAACTAGAGTCTAGATACACAGTAGTACAAGCAAGGAATTTCATGCTTATCAATCACAAGACTATGGTCAACCAATTGAATGGGCAGAAACATCCTACTTGATAAAGTTAGAGGCGGCATTCAGAGCATAAGACTAATAAATTGTAATAAAAGAAGGGAATTGTTATTGGCACTCCAAATTTCTCATTCTACACTCCAAAATTTCTATATTTAGAAAGAAAAATACACTTAGCGTAGAATGAGATTTTTGGAGTGCCAATAACACTTCCCTAAAGGAATATGAAACAGGGCAATGCTAGAGTTATAAATTTCAAACTTTTGAAAGGCAAGCATGATAGCTTGTTCCGAGCATTCAATATTCCAGAGACAAACTCCAACAGACGCAAAATACCCCAGACAAATCGAAAGGAAGAAGATATCTTATCAAATATAGCCATAAGCATCATAGAATTTAACACATACACCGCTATAGTTGCATATTTGTGAAAGAAAAAAAAACCCTATTGCAAGGGCTTTGCGCTTTGTTTATGAGGCAAGCTCAGTGGGCCACCAAATCCCCCGCAAAAGGAAAAGATCAAAATAAATGGAAATCAAAGGTAAGCAGCAGTACAAGAAATGAAAAGCTAGTTCCCATATCAACTTACAACTTTCTCTATCTTCAGCACAGCCAAAAATTCCGGTTGTCCAAGGCTCATCTGCAGGGGCCTGATAGCTGTCAGGTAAAGGCTGTCCACATTCGTTACACCTGTGAACATTCAACTGGCCCATAACACACAAGATCAGTTGCCGAATCACATTCTCATCCGATCCAACGACTTAAAATTACAACCCTCCAATGCAAACAAACTCACATGTAAAATTCACAAATTCATCAACATCTACCCCATAAACCTACAACATAAATGTAGTTTATCGACCATATTCAAGTTGTAGCCAAAACCAACTACGAAAATTCTAGATCTGAACAATTCCGTGATGTACCAATACGACTTCAAAAATCTGATTTACATCTTATCCCGGAAATGGCATTATACAAATTACAAAGCCCCAATTTTTTTTACTATAAATTTCTTCAATCCCCCCAAAAACCTTCTAATCAGAAATACATACAAAAAACTAGAAAAAATTAACAATCCAAACCAAATCTCACCAACACAAATTTAACGAAATACAATTCATACAAAATCATACAGGAAAACAAATGGGATATTAGCAACGGAGTTTCCAGAGCAAACCCATGTCAAATTAACAAAAAAATACGACGAACCGGTCTAGAGAGAGAGTGTGTGTGGGTTGAGAAACCTGAGGAACTTCGATGGGCTGATTGAGCTCGCCGGGATTAATGTCCTCCGCCGGCGCTTGTTCTTTCGTCAGCTTCACATACCGCGAGTGCGCAGTCCCATCCGCCATCCGATCTGCTCTGCTCCCTCCGGCACCGCTTTGGGAAAACCCGGGACTAATTAGTGAGGGAAGATCCGGACTGGGACTAGATTTGCGCCGGTCAACTTTTGTCTTCTTAACGCTTACTTAATAACATGTCTTTGCGAGTCTCTCTCTTCCGCTTCGGCCTTCAGATTTGTTTGGATTGCTGTCTTCTTTCCCCGTCGTTCGGTGTAATACGACTTGTCGATGTCCGCCGATAAATGTGGTTGCATACGATGTCGTTTCGAGAGACGGACTTGGGTTTTCTACGACATGTCCTTTTTTTGGCGACTATTTAGATTTCTAACCAATCAAATTGTATCTCAATGGCGACTATTTAGATTTCTAACCAATCAAATTGTATCTCAATATCTCTTTCATTACGTGATTAGTCAAAATTGAAAATTTAACCTGCTTACTTATGAGACCGTCCCAGACCATTTAGTAATCATCTATGTATATGAGAATTTATGGTTTTGAATTTAAGATACTCCTTCATAACGATTGGACTCAAAACTCAAATTTTGATTCAACACTTTGCTTCCTTTCCTCTTTGTTATAGGACGCAAATTTTGAATTTCCAGTTAAACGCAACCTTAATTTTAGATCATTATTTAAAAACATTATTGTAGAGGTCGCACTTGGTACGATGGCAAGTGCCTTCGCCCATAAACGGTAGGTCTTGGGTTCGAGACTTTGGAGCAGCATCTTCATAAAATGGGGGTAAGGCTAGCCGACATTCACCTCTCCCAGACCTACGTAAAGCATGAGCCTTGTGCACTGGGTACGACCTTTACCTTTACCTTTATTTAAAAACATTATTGTGTAGTACTGAAATACGATTATGTGATATTACAACTTCACTTGTTAAGATAAAGCATGTATACATATTAACGATGCAGTAGAGATGCTGAATTTACAAACTTCAGCTCTAAACACAATTAACAAGAGCGTAATCACTTATGAAGGCCAGTTTCTGTACCAACCGGACCATGCAGATACCAAACCACTAATCCCGAGAGTGACAGCATGATTACAGAACGGATTAGGCTCGATGTCCGCGATTCCGATGATCAAATCCGCAACATTAGCCGCCACTGCCATTAATCTCATCACTCTATCAGCCCTAATCTTTCTCAAACTCTCGCTCTTCGTCTCCGCAGACTTGTCCTCCAAGGCAGCAACCTTTTTCTCCGTCTCCACGCCCTCTTTCAACGCAATGAAATCCAAAACGATGAAGAAAACATACCCAAACGACTCACCGAACGCCGATATAAAGCTCATCTTTCGCGCCAGATTCGGGTTCAGAGTCCCGATTCTGGACAGCCAGAGAAAATGGTCGAAAAAGAAGTAGACCATCTCCCCAGCATTAGCAAGAACGGCTAGGAACCGAAGCGTAGGGGTGGAGCCGGGGCTTCTTCTCAGCGCATTGAATCCCGTGAGAAACCGCCCCGTTCGAAAGGCCTTCCGGCTAAGCCCGGATGCAACTTCCCATTGCTTGGCTCGCTGCGCGATTTCGGGGTTCTTGGCCTCGGCGTGCCAGTGCGCAATCTTGGAGACGTATTGGAAGGTTTTGACAAGCTTGTCAATGCCGTCTCTCTTTGCCAGGAAGATAACAAGTTTGTCTACTGTGTCGTTCATGATTGAAAATTTGCGCAGCGGATGGTTTGGTTGTGATTGGCGATGAAGAAGTATGAATCCCGCTAGCTGGATGGGAGGATTTTGGGGTTGGATTAGTAGAAGAAACGAGAGATAAAGAGCACCACAGAAGTTGCAGGATTTTGGATAATAGCATACAAGCTTCTGTGGTTGGACTGCATGCCATGCAACTAGCTAACGGTAGTAGGCCTTCTTGTCTTTAGCCGATAACGGTCCAAGCTTGTTATCTCCACAAAACTAGACCTCAAATTTAACCTCAACCAAAAAATCATTTAGGTGACGATACGTCACGTGTTCGAATTTCCTTCGCCAATATCGCTTGTATTTTCTACTTGTTTTTAGACTTGGTTTCAACATATTGGATGTGTAATTCGTTGTATCTTATGGAAAATTTGTAAAAGTTATCTATTATCTCCAACCAAGGGTGAATGTACATTGAGACCAAAGTAGTTTCAGGACCTTTTAGAAGTTGGAAAACAAGCATGTAAAGGTCTTTCAAATTTGTCAAGTGTTATCGATAGCATTTGTTAAGTGTGTCAACGCAACATGCTAATGCCAAGATATGCCTAGTAGGTTTACATCAAATACTTTATGGGCACAAAAAGGACCAGACCAAACATTCGAAGAATTTGACCTTCCTTCGACTGGTCTTGGGACCACCTTGGTCCCAATGTACATCCGTCCTTTATCATGTATTGTTGCTCTTCGGATTTTTTTGATGAGAATTTTGAAAATCCGTTCATCGTACGGTCAGTTTTTGTCAAGTACTATTTATATTTAATTTTAAATAAAAATATTTAAAATAATTTCTACCTCATCCTCACAAAGAGGATCAGGCGAGGATCCGGGTTAAAAAAAAAGTTCAATTCCGGTGACCAAGAGTACCTCGCACGGATACACAGACAAGACCAGGCCCGGTTCGCCTCTTTTCTCTTCTCGAATTTCTCTCTCAGATTCTAGTCCTTGGAGAGCAAAACCCTAGAAGCCATTGATACCTATCCCACTGCTCAATCCACACTGGTTGCTCCGCTACAAACCCTTCTGAATTTCTTCTCTCCAAAAGCCCAAATCGGTTTCTTTTTGTTGTTCCCCTTCCCAATCCCAAATCATCACTTGACACAGCCATGGATGCTCAGAGAGCTCTGCTGGACGAACTTATGGGCTCAGGTTCAAACCCTAATTGATCGCCGCTCTGTTTAGAAACGATAATTGCTGATTATGAGTTGGGGACTTTGGATTTGTTTAGAAAAGATAATGGCTTTAATGGGTTTTAATTTGTTTGATGTTTTTCTTGGTTGATTTTGGTTTGAATTGGTTTAATTTGGTTTTGGAATACTGATTTGTGGTGAATTCCAGCTCGTAATTTGACGGAGGAGGAGAGAAAGGGGTACAAGGAAATTACTTGGGATGATAAGGAGGTTTGTAAAGCCTATATGGTTCGATTTTGTCCTCACGATCTCTTCGTTAACACTCGAAGCGATCTAGGTGAGTTGCGATTGGAAATTGTATTGATGTTCAATTGTTTAACACTATGTTTCTTGCTGAGGAATAAGATCAAATGCTTGAACCATGATTAGGGATTTCAGCTTTTCGTATCAGATGCTTAAATTTGTTTCTGTGGAGGGCACGCTTTCGCTGACCGTAAATTTTTTGTTTTCGTATCAGGACCTTGCTCTAAAATACATGACCCAAAGTTGAAAGAAAGGTGATAGACTGAACATTTATAGAGTTGAGGGTTTTTATTTTTTTGGCAATGTGAACCTATCACAATGTTATCTAATGTTTTCTCGTTCTGCTATGTACGGAGTTTATATTTGCAATCAAAAGAGGGTCCTTTGTGCTTGTTTGGAATTGTTTTGTCACGAATTCTATCAAAAGAACGATATGATTTTTGAAAAAGCTTAGCTTGCTAACCCATAAAGACTTTTTGATCATTTATATGCTTCTGTTGTAAGAATGTTGTTTCTCTTGTCTTCCTACAAATCTGTTGTAAGAATGTTGTTTCTCTTGTCTTCCTACAAACAAGTTTTCTGCTTCTTATGTGTGGTGTAGGGTGTAGGATGAAACTTTGACATGCCTTACATGGTATTCTAAGCGGTAGCTGGGTTTTTGTTTTTGAGGTAACTTATTTACACATTTGAACAGATCTTTCCTCGAAGGGGAGAATCGTTTATCAATTCCAAGTCAGCAGTAGCTAAATAGTTGCTCATAATATAGAGTAAAATATTTGTTTAGTGATGCTCTGCTGCATGAGACGTCAAATAAAATGTCTGCTGCATGAATCGTCTATCAATTATTTATTTTGGCAGATAATTATGCGTGGTCTACTCTCTTTTGTATTCAGTAGGGGTTCGGTTAGAGGTTATTTGCCACTGTACAGATTAATTATTTAATTTTTCTTACCTATGCATTGTTGATGTACAGATATTTTGCACAGATTATCAGGGAAGTGATATATAATTGCTATATTTATGTTTATAAGATGAGTATCTAGAAGGGTTTGCAAAAATCGAAGTTTAATTTTTGACCTTGGGTGATGACCAGAGATCATTTCATACACTCTCCCCTTTCATAAGTACCCCAGGTATATTTTAGTTTTGATATCACAATTCAATGCACGAGACCAGACCAAAGATTATCCATATCATTCTTTTTTGTTTTCGCTTTTCTGGTTTTGTTCTCTAGCTCAAAACTCGCTCGTTTTTGCTTTTGTTTTAATATTTCTGTTGTTTCCTGTTCCAAAGTTGTCATTATATTATGTAGTTCCAGTTTTAATTCTTTATGTTATCGATTTTAGTTTTGAAGAGTCCCCGCGGCATGATGCTTATGTATCCAAGTTTGAAGCTGAACTTGCTCACTTTTGTGAGAAATTGGTATGTTTTGCATGTCTCCTCATTTCTCTTCGTGATGTATGCTTTTTCACCTATATTTCTGTGTCTCATTATAATTTGCTTTTCAGGTGATGGATTTGGATAGAAGAGTAAAGCGTGGGAGAGAACGCCTTGCTCAGGAGGTGGAACCTGCGCCAGCTCCTCCACTGTCAGCTGAAAAGTCTGAACAACTATCTGTTCTGGAGGAAAAGATAAAGAACTTACTGGAACAAGTGGAGGCCCTAGGTGAAGCTGGAAAGGTCGATGAAGCTGAAGCACTCATGAGAAAGGTGCTGCTGTTGGGGATTTTTAATTATTACTGTGAAGTATACTGCTACATGAAATTTGACTACTTGATTTCTTTATCCTTTCATTTGGTAGGTGGATATGCTTAATTCCGAGAAGACAGCCTTGGATCAGCAGCCCCAGAATGATAAAGTGTTGATGCTGGCACAGGAGAAAAAAATGGCACTCTGTGAGATCTGTGGTTCATTTCTTGTGGCCAATGATGCTGTAGAGAGAACTCAGTCTCATGTTACAGGGAAACAGCATATTGGTTATGGCATGGTTCGGGATTTTATAGCTGAGTTCAAGGTGAGTCTCTCTGTTGATTAATTAAGTATTGAAGTTAAGGAAAAATATGATTTCTTGCTCAGGGACTGAAAAATGTGGACCTTATTTTTCAGGAATCTAAAGAGAAGGCAAGGGAAGAAGAAAGGTTAGCGAGGGAGAAAGAAGCAGAAGAACGGAGGAAACAGAGGGAGAAGGAACAGGAGGATAGAAGGAGAAGTAATTCAAGTGATAGGGACAGGTATCGTGATAGAGATCGTGACAGGGAGCGGGACAGATATCGAGAACGAGACTCGGATCATGAAAGGTCGAGGGAGTGGAATGGCAGAGGTAGTCGGGATGGAGCGAGAGGGGTGGACCATAGGTCCAGAAATGGAAGAGATGGAGGAAGGGATAGGTACCGTGATCGAAGCAGGTCACGTTCCCCTGTTAGGCACAGTCACAAAAGGTCACCTAGAAGTCCAGTTCGCCCGTATTGATGAATCGTGTAGAATGATGTCTGAGCTTTGAAATTTAATGAGGTAGTTTCCATATCTCACATCTTTGTTGAGACTACCATCTCCCATTCATCAGTATTATTAGCGAAGAAAATGGTTGAGGTAGGTATAATTTTATTATTGTAACTCATTTTTACATTTCATTTTAGACTTGGGACGAGGCAAATTTCCTTTTGCTGTATGAAACTTCTGTCTTTACACATATTTAAGACATCAGAACACCGCAGCTGGCGACATGATGATTTTTAATCATTTTTGAGGTAACACATTTATCGTATATTTACCGTCACCAACCCATGCAATATTTCCTTCTTTCCATAGGTACACTTTTCCCTTTCTTTTCCATCCTCCTGTATCTGGTTTTTAGTTTTAACCACTCTGTTGCTGGTGCTGCTTGTTTAACCGGGATGGGGATCCGAAGAAACCAGTCAGTCAAATGCGCGGATTGTGTGCTACATGTTCATTCCTCTTGAGGTATTTAGGTTACTCTCCATATACATCTAGAAATAATTGGTCTGGTTTTACCCTTCTAATGGTTAGATCGGTGCAAGCATTCTTTTCGGTGAGAGAATAAAGACCAGTCAAGACTGGGGATAATCTGATAGACTACACTATCATGTGAAATAGGTAGTTTTGGAGTTCAAATTTCTGTCTCGGTCTCTGAGGAGCCGCTTTTGAGCAGAACTGTTGTTTCCATGGGCATGGACATCTACTTCACCAGACTGGGATGCGATATAAGATTTGCCGTCAACGGTGAATGGAGGTAACTGCCAATCATAACTCTGCAGATTAGTGCATTTCTTTTGAAGTTTTGCAGGAAGGGCAAGATAAAAACCGGCAAACCTCGACGATTAGATTTGCTACGGGTCAAATATCTCTCATGGCTAGCAATGGTTTGCGGAGGGCGTCCCTGTTCATCTTGCAGAACTAGTTTAAGAGTAGGGAGAATTGAGTTACCAAATGGAACTGAAATGATTGAATATGATCGGTATCACTTTTGACATTGTCGCATAATCGAGATCTTGTAAAGTTGTATGATCTCCAAACTTGTAGACGCCATGGTCACCGATGGGAAAGTGAAATACAATCATAATCCAGTAATCCACTCAGCACTTGCTGAAGCTAAATTCGAATGCGCTAAACCAAACCAATATTTCCATGGTTACTTTTAAGTATAAAATATTCATGAAATTGTTGATAATCTTGTCGAAATATCCAAAACATTAAGGATTGATACGAAAGTGAAGTGAAATGCAAACTTCACACTATATCGACAAGATATAGGAAAATCAATGAATATTGATGATATTTACCAAGGGCGAGCCTTGATGCAACATAAAGGTTGCTCATTTGTGATCGAAATGTTAAGGGTTTGAGTCGTGGAAATAGCCTATTTTCAAAGTAAGGGTAAGGTTGCGCATGATAGACGTTTTCCTCCTCCCCGCAAACCCTAGCGTGTCAAAGTGTTAGAAAAATACATGTCATGATTTGTCTTGACACGGTAACCCTCGCATCGTGGCATGCCAGAACATCGCTATTGGCCATGACATGACAAGCGTCGCGAATTGTTGGTAGAATGCATGTCATGACACACCATGCATTTTGTCAACAATTCACAAGACTTGTTATGACGTGCCACGATGCAAGGGCTAGAGTGTCAAGACAAGTCATTACACGCCATGCACTTTTCTAACACTTTGTCTACTTTCAGAATAATTAAAAAAAAAAGAATCTAAGAAATGTATGAAGCGTTCTTACTGGTAAGAACCTTCGTAAATATTCAACTCAAATAATGAACGTGTTCTTGCAGGTAAGAAGATGTGTAAATATTCAACTCAGATATTGAACATATTCTTTTTTTTTTTGTCAAAGATATTGAACATATTCTTACCGGTAAGAAGCTATGCAAATAAAAGATGTATGTCATGACTTGTCTTAATACGCTAATCCAAAGTATCCGTAACACGAGCAGGTAGTTGGAAACATTTCTCGCTAAAGGCATTTCCGTTAGAAGATGTAAAATGTCTTGAAATCCCCCTTATACATACAATTCAAGGAGAGAATATTGATCACAATCTCAAATAAATGCCTCAGCCGGTTGGTCTTTCTTTGTGATGATGGAGTCGATCGACTTGTTCTCTCTTGCTCGAATAAACCTTGTATCAACGAAGGAAGGGCTTGAAAAACTCCGGTCTGCGATGTTGCACACACCATAATCTTCAGGTCCACAGCCTTGAACACAATCATCGCGGTGGAAGCATATGCAATTTGGTTGACATCCCAACTTTGAAACACAAACAGACATTGAAGAGAGACATCACCGAGGAAAAGAGCAACATCATCGGTCATCACGTAAGTGTTATCCTCTCGCGGTTCATCCATCTGCCGTGGCGACCACTTGAAATCGGAAGATACTTTGTTACCACCAATAGTTTTCTCTCATCAGAAACCACAAGATGTATCTTCAAGTTGCGGACCTTGTCTCGATCAATGCCGAACAATCATTCAAGCCGGTTGCAACTGCATTTACATCCGAGCACTCTCTCACAATTACGTCACATGCAGAAATTTTAAGTAATTTCACTGTTTTTGTTCAAAGCTTTACAACCCGGTAACCATATCAGTCATTTTGCTTTCGCGTTTTTTCTCCGAGTAGAAGTAAACTTCTACTGAGGAAATAGTTATCTAGAAATAGTCGCTAAAGAAAAGAACAGCTCCTTTAACGACGAAAAATTGTTTGAAGATCGTCATAAAAAAGCTTTAGCACCAATTTATGTTCTCTCTGTAAATTTTATTTAAAAAAACTTAATAAGCACATGCAAAGCATGTATACGATTGCTAGTATTTCAAAATTTTACATACTCGTTGCCAAAGCACATGATAACTCCATTAACTGCAAAATGTTGAAACATCGAACCGATGGCTAATTCAGACACAAAAACAACCCGACCCTCTGTATAAATTCAAGAATGTACTGCACATCTTTCAAACAATTTCGTCCAAGATGAAATTATGACTAGTCTAGACTCAAACGCCGGATCTTACATACAAGGTTTGCAGTTGGAAGGTCGAGATTTCCTGCGTCCGACTTCACAAGGTCCTTGAGCTGGTCTCTTGGGGTAGAAAGACAGGTGTGGAATGTGGCAAGGACAGGAGGAATTGGCATTGATAAGGCAGAAAGCACATTGCTTAGATACTCTATGTCAACAGATAGCTGTTGCGCTCCACGATCTGTGATGTACTGAATTCCTCGCAGTTGCTCCATGTAAAGAGCTGTGGCACCCTCTGCAACCTTCATTGCACAAACACAGCATTGTCAAAACGGAAGAGTGTCGTGGAATCATCTATTACACAATTTTGATAAGATTCACAACGTTACTACAACATATTGCAGATGTAAGTTGGTACCTTGAACATCCATTCTGTTGCAAAAATCTGGGCTTCATCATTGTTGGCATCACTGTTCGAAATGCCCTCCGCAAGTGGCTCTAACTGCTGAGGTAAAGTAAGAAGATATTCACCGATACTGGTCACATAGGCCTGCGGGTAAGCACTGAAGGTTGGGAGATGATATGCACTTTGTTCTTCAACTGAGGACCATATTGGTAATCGAGAAACATCACTGAGGCGTTGCCGTACTTTGGAGATGAGAACATCGTATACAAGTTCATTAACTGTGTCAGCAAATGCTGTAACCCTCTGAGATGCGAGGGGAAGTGCATGAAACCGAGGATCTTTAGACTGCATTGCACCAAAAGGTGATGTCAATTTATATTTCGACCCCCAAAATAATGTTCTCATTTAAACTGAAGGGGGAGTATATGGAAGAGAGAACAGCAAGGCTGAAACATTAATCTAATCATACCTGACTTAAAAGGTTAAAGAGTTTTCGAGCCTTCTCAGGAACATCAATGAGCCGCACAGCCGCCACATCCAGGGCAGCCCTTCCGCCCAAAGATGATGAACCATTTCCATCATCACTAGCAAGATGAGATAGGTTTTGGTCCACACTTGAACCAAACACGGAAACTGAGAGTGTAGTGCTCAATCTCGCAAGAGTAGCTCTCAAGGAAGCTTCAAATACAGAGGACCTGCTAGTTAGACAATCTGCAACTGTAAGGATTTGTAAAGCACCTTGCACGATGGACCACTCCTCCTCATTCGAAATCGAATCAACCTTGCGTGCACTTTGGATGTCCTTCTTATCCAACCCTGTCTCCTTCTTTGAACCAACACCGTCACCACCATGATCCACTCCACAGACAACTCTTAACGATTTCAGGGTTTCTTGCAAGGTAGAAATATACTGTAACATTATGTCATCAATTGCAAGAATTAACTCATCTGCCTCAGAACCTCCAGTCAAGCTGATGCATCTTTCAACAGCTGCTTCAAGAAGTACAATAACTTGGGGAATTGATTCCTCCATTCTGCGAACTGTTTCACTAAGTTCAATTCCTTGAGCTCCCACACCACGGGTAACGGCTCCTCTTAGATCCACTCCAGCAATCTCAGCAGAAAGTATAGCACGCTCCATCTGTCCATACCTACCACACGTTTCACCATAGATCAACCAATAAAAAAATTAACAAATAAAAGACAGCACCATATCGAGTATATCAAAAAGAAGGAAATCAAGGGCCAATCCAAACTGAACCAAATGCAAGTAAGAAAAGAAAACCAGGCCTGAATGAAAATTCAAACCCTGATCTTTCTTACCTTTGCTTAAATGATTCATATGGAAGATAGACTGCCTTTAGCGTATCCATTAAAACACGTAGATCAGATTCCGAAAACAAATGCTGAATATTCCTTGCAAAGGTCTGGGTCATATTGTGTAATTCAATCAAAGCCTCCAGATGCTTCGTCTGGATCTTGATACCCTTTGGCATGTCACCAGAAAGAATATCTAATATACCTAAAGTTTAAAAATAAGAAATTTGAGATATGATAATAAAGAATTAATCATTAGAATAATATCGAAATGGTGAAAGGTGTGAGAGGTGGGGCAAAAACTTTGTATATCCATCCAGCACACAGAATCAGAATATCAACCCTCTAATGAGTAGCAATGTATCATTTCACACCACCTAATACCAATGCAATACCCAAGTCATTCGGACCAGTACAAGTTTTAAGAGAAGAAAGATGGTAAAATAGAACAAGTCTCAGATCATAATCATTTAAAACATCATCTAATAATAACAGAACAAAAATTCACATCCAACCTTTTGCCAATGATTTTGTTTCAGGAACAACATCTCCAGTAGCAAGGTTGATACGGGAAACAAAACTTGCCCCAACAGCTACCATCGTCTCAACCAGCAGTTTTGGGACAAGAGACTTATAATCCTCAGGAAAGGCAACCATGCACCTATACACAACAGTTGAAGCTAATTTTGATATTCCATGACTTTAGAATAAAATTCTGTAACTTCCTAAACCTTTCCCGAATATTTATTTTTTCTTCTTTAGAGGGGTATAAATTCAAAATTTTCTTAACATTAAGGAAGATAATAATAGTGAACATGAACATGCATAAGCCTCAAAGTATGTCTTGTCCCCATTTTCTGTTGTAAAACCAGATAAAGAACATAAGGAAAAGACAGTTTACATTGCTGAGTTATATACAAATGCAATATCTCATGGTAACACATTAAGGGCTCATTTGGAGAGTAGGATTGGAATGGAATGGATAACTTTCTAATCTCAAGGCATGTTTTGAGGGGAGACATGAAAAAATTATGATCAACAACAGGGTAGAAGATTTTACTCACTAAGGAAACATATCTATTCCAATCCTCTCCAAAATGGTAGGATTAGAAGGAATGAGTTTTCTTCATGTCTAATCCGCTTCTCAGTAATCCCCTCTAAATGAAATATCATTCACTTCTACCATCAATTTGCCTTGAAATTGGAGAGTTATTCATTCCAATCCAATCCTACTTATCAAACGAGGCCTAAGAACAAGGATAAAATAGAAAAATGTCTGGGAATCAAAGAGTGAGAATGTACCACTTCCATTCTTGTTCAAGATAAAGTAGCAATTCATCATAGAAATTTGGGAGCCAAGTGGAGAATAGAATTGTGGGAGCAGCTGACTGAGACTCATTAGTAGCGGATGGTCTTTCAAATTGAGACTTCTCAGTTGCAAGCTTATTAGGCGGTGGTTGTTTTGCGTCAAAATCTTCCCATAGCTGCTTTATGGGCTTTAGGTGAACTTTTGTATAATGCAACTCCATGGACTTGAACCTCCCAATTCGAATGAGAATCCCACGCAAATCTTGAGCAATTTCAACCTGTAAAGACGTATAAATCGTCATTTTTCATCTAGAGTCTAGCCACAAAAAAGGCTGTTGGACTATAATAGAAAGGAAGCAATTCAATAAGAAAAATGTTAGGGATTGTGACCTTGCGATTGGATATTGCGTCGGTAAGACGTGGTTGCACCATTGAATCAAGCCTATCCTCTAAGACCTCAAGTTGCTTCCTCACATTTGCAAATTCCGCAACCTAAAATCACGGGGTTGATCATCGATATGCCTTCATTATGACCAAATACATACAAAAAATGCACTATGGTACTGAATCAACTACAAAAATGCAAATCTTTAAAAACATAATATGCAGCTTCCATTACCTCCCCAACAGCAGACAAGCAATGCCTCATGTTGGCTAAAGTTTCGGCCACGCGAGGAAGATCACCACTTGCAAAAACATCCTCGACTGTCGCACTCAGTTGAGTTAACCCAGCAGCATCTTGCAATGTCTCGTATGCAGCTTCCATCCTCTGCTTCACAATATCGACTTTCGCAAGCGCCGCTATAGATTCAGCTGAAGATCCCTCTGCCTGCACAAGGCATATTATTGATTGATT